AACACAGAATTTGTACACAACAGTATTATGTTTGTTTGTATGTAGTTTCTCCTAAAATATCACAGTTCCAACATGGCTTCAGTGCTAGTAATCTTAGCAATGTTACCCAATTTATAGCTGAAAACTTAGATAGTCGTGCTCAAATGGACATTATATACACCGACGTTGCTAAAGCTTTTGATAAAGTCTCGTATTCAATTCTTCTAAGGACCCTAGAATATGATTTTGGTTTTCATCCCAAACTGATGAAATTTTTCAGTTCATATCTATCTAATCGAAAACAAAGTGTGATAGTGAAAGGGCATGAGTCCAGTCCATTTATTCCATCGTCTGGAATTCCCCAGAGTTCCAACTTGGGTCCTTTGTTATTTATTTTATTTATCAACAGTCGTGTTAAAAATATCACATCATCTTGCTACTTGTTGTTTGCAGATGACTTAAAAATGTTTAGAAGAAAATCAACAGTTGAAAATTGTGTACATCTACAAAACTATATAAATATCGTTGAATGGTCAAAAAAGAACAAATCGTTATGTTCAAAAGTGTAATACTATAACCTTCTACCGAAAAAAAGTCAGTATAACATACAGCTACGAGATGGACGGTATAAAACTCAACAGGACTCGAAATAAATAGACCTTGGTGTTACTTTTGATTATGAATTATCATTTAGATCTCATATACTGAATTAAGAAACAAAGATTTATGGGTTTGTAGATCGCAACTCTAGGCAATTCAGCAATATTACCTGCATCAAACATTTGTATATCACTCTTATTAAAATCATTTTGGAATATGCTTCCATTTTCTGGTGTCCTCAATATAACTGTCACAAGTATGGCATTGAAAGAGTTCAAAACAAATTCCTGAGATATCTTCACTTCACAGAAACAGTTAACTATGACCTTGATATTTGAAAAGTAGTGCTACTTGAAAAGTACAACATACAAACCCTCGAGAAAAGAAGAGTACCTATTTGCTTACTTAATATACTTGTACAAGATGATACATAGTGAAGTGGATGATCCCTGTCTTCTATCAAATATCAATTTCAATGTACCTGCTTATGAAACTATATCCTTTCGCACATTTTATATATTTACGTACCTATATGTAATTATATTCTGGAAATTTGTATGGAATCAAGTTCAACTTTCATTAGTTAAATAACTGGGGGAGGCTATAAAATCTAGAATTGAAATATTTGTTTCCATTCATACTTATTGAATATAAATATGAATTTATTGAAACAAATAACTGTATAATATACCTTCACTAGTTGAATGGCCAGTTTGATTCACAAAAAGTTCATGCATACAGTTGCATTACAATTGCCAAACAGAAAATGACAGATCATCAAGCAATTTTTTGGCCTGCTCATCTCTACTGAAATCTCTGGTAACAGAACAACTTGCAAAACATATCACTCGACAACTTATTTGATAAATAAATATAGTAAAATCCTCTCTTCACTGACGCCATCTATGAGATCAATAGAAAAGCATGAGTATCAAAAATAAACAAAGCTCCCATAGCAGTCGGTTGCAAAGCCAAATTTGTCCCGTCTTTCACTGCAAAGCAAGTAGTTTTTTGGTATCTGATTTCAATAACTTATTTGATGTTTGAGAAAAGATTTCTGCATTTTTTCCATTATATTTTTCATTTATTCCAAAATATAGCACAAAAAAAGTTTTGATTAGAAGTTACTGAAAATTCTACTATGAGTTTATTTGATAATTATTGAAAACTACTGAGGGTCTTTACACAAAACTTTGAGAAATTCATGAAAAGAACATTTTATTGATTTCAATGCTAAGCTGTACAGAACTTAATCTTTTTTGAAGTCGTATTTTAATTCTGTAGAGTCAACGTAATGTAACATTTCATTCAATAGTTTGCAAATAATGATAAAATTATTGATCTCTCCTCCACTCTAGTACATATAACAAACATATACTCAGTTTTTGTAATACGGGTACTTGATGGATTTATTTTCAATGGTTTCTACATATCGTTTCAACTGATGCCTATTCCAGTTGAGTGTGACCTAGCGAACTGTTATTAGACAATAATGATGAGTCATTAAACTTAGAGATGGACTGTTGCATGGTGTGAAATAAATTATGTATTCTGACATTGTCAATATTCAAGTAATCTATGCATGTCATGAATCCAATCTCTCGAACAAGACTTTTTTATGTGTGAATACTTTTGATTCAGAGGAATCATTTCAGATAAATTATTTTTAGGATCTTCTTTTTTAGATAGCATATGACAGTACATTTTCCTCTTATTTCAGATATTTGTATTCACGCAGAAAGGGTGGTCGTGCTGGAACCCATATTGGTGGTGGAAGACCCCGAACTAGATCACGTTCACCAAAGCGTGCACGCTCTCGCTCAAGAGACAGAAAGGGTTCCAGATCACCAAAACATCGTTCCGGACGTAGTGGACGCTACTAGTATTCCTTTTTTTACACTTGAAGATGAAATGACTTTTTTAAATTGATGGCAAATAGATTTAAGGTCTGTTTGAGAATAGATGGGCAAATGCTTTTCTATATTTCAACTGTATTCTTAATTGGAAATAAAATTCACATATAATACTTGAGTCATGACTAGTTTTCCAGGAGTTTATATGAATTTTGAAAATGAGGTTTTTAGTGCGACTTATCATGAGATGAATTAATACTTTAGTTTGTGCAAGAAATAACATTTTCTTCTCGTATGCCACTCAACCAACAAAAAATTTTTTACTTGGCATGAAATTTAGGTTTAATATTGGTATTTACAGAAATTAACTAAATAAAAAATGTATTATTTCATTCAAAAAAATTGGTTTTATTGATATTATTTTCTTACAAACAAATTCCACTGAAACATGCCAACACTATTTGGAAATTGGGTTCAGAAACTGTTACTATATTCCTATTAAATAATATACAGGGAATCCCAAGTTCAGTGGACCACNTACATGAGGAAGGAAATCTCCAAAGGCAATATGATTAGAAATGAAGAAATACATAAATACCCCACTAGAAAGAGAATGGACTTTAGATTGCCTAAACCAAGAATAACCAAAACTAAGCACTCTTACAGATATCTGGCAATAAAATTTTACAATGCTCTTCCCACTGATCTAAAAGACGTAGCCCTGAATATGAGTCAATTCAAAATTAAAATCAAAAAAATTTTTATTGCAGAAAGTTTTTACTCATTCGAAGAATACTTTGATTTCTTTTTATATTCAAAAAGATAAGTATGTACATCTCACGAAGTCTGATGGATGTAATGTTACTGTTACCCTATGGTGTATCTAATAATTTAATAATTAATAGTGTAATTCTATTTATGTACATGTAAATGTGTATATACCTACATAAGTTATGTGTGTCTGGTGTACATGTATGTGTGTGTTCTTTTGAGTTTATCAAATTATTGATTTGACGTATGTAAAAACACTTTGTGTAATGGCATGAATAAATATCTATCTATCTATCTATCTGTCTATCTGGAGAACGAAATGACATCGATCTGAAAATTTGGTATTGCTACTATTGCTATTGCTTCTAAGGAGTTGGTATATCAATTTTTGGATATACCAACTCCTTTCAGAAGAAAGTTTTTGTTGATATGAAAAAACTAGCTGTGTTACAACATGTTTCTATTAATTTGAGCCCATCCTGCGCCCTAATCAGGGTATCCAGAACTGTGTTCCAAAGAAGGGGTGATGAGACCCCTTCCTGTGGACATACCTCATGACCAGTCCCCTCACTGTGATGTCTTCTACATTAATACTTATTGCTCTACTACAGAGCATCTTGAATATCCATTCTCTTAGCCCAACCCGCGGGGCTTGTATCCCTTATAGGTAAACATTTTTCTGACTCTTACTGTCAACATTTCAAGTGTTTTTGTGCACCTAATTCCATTTTTTACACAAAATTTGATGCAAATTCATTGATCCATTATTTTCGATAGCAAAACATCGCAAAGTGCGTGACCTAAGCAAACTTACGCTTTTTTGCATTTCAATTATTATTGTGTATTGTGACACTTAACGACATCTAGTAGCGAGTAGTGTTGTATTGTCTATTGAATCCTGGTCTTTGATAGGTACCAATTTTTTTAATTTTTCTGTTAATGAAAGCTATTGTTTTTTTTAACTATTTCTATGTGTGAAAATTAAAAATATTTTTTGGGAACGGATAATTGAGCGAGTGAAATTAAAAAATCAGGAAGTTAGAAACCCATTTTTGTAATTATCCTACATAAATTTTATTATACCATGAATGCCATGGTATAATAAATCACTAATTATGAGTGTCTTTTTGTAGAGTTGAACTAAATGTGTAGGTACAACTTTATTTGAATTCATTTTCATAACTTGAGAATGAGGAGATTTCTTGCTTCCTTTTTAAATATATTTGACTCTCCATTTAAAGTAACTTCCAAGGTAAAAGAACTGCTCAAAAATGGTTTTCAATTCATTTGAAATTAAATTTCTCTGAATTACTGGAAAAATAAAAATGCCGAAGTTTGAATTATCATTTATAAACTCCATTTCATATTTGATATTCTAGAAATGAATATAGTTCTTTTTGATGATTAGTTTTGAAATCACCCCTAACCTAGAACTTCAATAAGTTGATAGTGATAATAAATAGTCTCTAACTGTACTTCATAATCTTGTAAACCACTGCAGGTTATTTACCCAAGAAAGAAAAAATTTGCTGGAGGTTATTGCTGATACTATATAGTTAATAAATAATGTCCAGTAGAAAATGTTTGAATCTTAACTATGCAAAATAGTTTAGGATTCACAACTTACAACAAAATGTTGATCAAATTTCAAACATATCGTGTTTGAGTATGAACTTTTTTGCCCTTGGTATAGGTACTATTCTTTCTTATATAATTTTGAGTATAGTGGTTATTTCAACTGAATATCAGATTTTTCATAGAGATTTTCACTACTTGTTTCCTATTCACATACCAATGTTCACATTATATTGTGTATTTCCATTTTATTTGCGCGATTTATAAAATCTCATTAGCTTCAGAACTTGGTGAAATTTATTGAAATATTACTCTTGAAGATGTCTTTTAATATCACTTAGTTCTCTGATCAAATGATCTACTTGTTCTAAGTTTGCTTCAAAATCAACAGTATTTTTTTCACACTTTTCGTCTCGATTCCTACAGCAATGTAACTGAACTTGAAGTAGAGGATCCCTAATTGTAGCTAAATCAGAAGAACCTAGCACCCACTTCAGTTTCCAATCTATATTCTCTACAAGGGTGTTTCCATTTTTCAAAATAGCAGTTTTTGCCAATGCCTGAAAGATACCATTCTTCCTGATTTCGAAACAGTTTAGAATCGTTTCTTCGACGTTTTTGCCTAGCTTCAGTGGCTCCAAAATCAAATTATCTTCAATAACACTTTGGCTAAAGAAGTTTTGTACTGCGACTCTTGCACTATCATAATCTTCTCTGGTCCACTGGATATCAGAACTGATGAAGTTGTCAAAATTAGCTTTTTTTGTTTCAACTAAATCGTCGATACATTCATGTAAAAACTAGAAAATGTATTTACTAATTAATAAAGACTTTGTAGTATATGCTAAGTGCATATGTTGAGAAAAATTACCTTCGTTAATAAAGATGTATCCGACACTTTGGATAAAAGACATAACTTATCTAAATCAGCCATAACATGTACTACAAATTAGGGTCTGCCTGTTAGTTGTCAAATTAATAAAGATTATAAGTTATTTAATTGAAAGGTTAGTTAATATTCTGTGGTTAAAAAGATAATTTTTAATTAACAGTCAGGGTTGCCACTGTTGTCTGCCATTAGATATTTTTTGGAACTAAATTATTTTTCAGATATCAATGACAAAAAGGAGCATATTGTGGTCATATTTTGTTACTTTGTCAATAATCTGATCGAGATCAGACTTCGCTACACAAACCACCTAAGTTTGTGCTTCGCTATGACCTATTAGGACGAAAGTTCATAATGAGTTCATCTGTGTTTTCAGGGAAGCCAATATATTTTTTTTAAACTTAAATATCAACCAAAGAGTACACCATGGTTTACTATTTGATATCAACGTCAAATTATAGGTTTATTCTGGTTTCTGCTTCTAACGTTATTGAGTTCATGGCCTTACAAAGCAAGGATAGCGAAATTCATAATTTACCTACTATCTTTTTACTTTGACATGTGTGCTGCTTCTATACAGTCAAAAAGGTTTCGTTCAAAGCACTCAAGGATATTTTGAAGGATTTTAAGGGTAATGTTTTGTGGCAGTTATCTTCTGACAGTCAAATAATATTTATGTTGTTATGATTCAAAAATGTATAGAGACAGATTATATGATCTATCGAATATTTCATCTAGTTGGCTCTGTAAACAGACATTTCTCTAATAACCAACCCTTCATTAAAAAAAAGGTTTAAACCAAGAGTCCTTCAGAATTGATGTATACTGTTCTGACAAAAAAAATCATTGATTATGTGAGCTAGAAGCAAACTCCCCGTTTTCTTGAAAAATCATGAATCTTTTCCACATTTATCGCCTACTGAAGCATGTTCACATTTTTTTAAATTATATATTACTCAAAACTAGTTTGTCTGTTTATAGGCTGCATTTTCATTCATTTCTAATGATTCACGACGCCTTATGCTCAGGATGTCCTGTAATAAACAGTTCTGAAATTCTGTCGGGTTCGGAAATGGTGGGACAGAAAGTTAAGGTTAAGGATGATTTTGTTATATTCAGTTTAGACAAATAAATCACGCAAGTTTCAAAAATATTTCCATGTGATATTTTTTATTGAAATTAATTCTGTTGAGAATTGAGAGAGGCCTCTATCACAGGTTGAATTGAAAAAAATCCTCATCCTGTGTGCTCTAGTATATATTCAACTCTTTACTTTGATTTCAGATCGGTCTAATAATGACTTATTGGTTATTGTTACTTCGAAAGATATCCAAAATTTACAGATTATAAAACAATTATAGTCGATGATAAGTCTTTCTCAATTCTTGGTAATGGTCTACCTACAGTATATTTTCGGTTTGACTTGGGGTATACGACTTTCTCACATTACCATTTTGGCAATACTGGTCAGATGTTTTGTTTGTGAGTTGGTACTGCTGTCTCATAATGGGCTGTTGTTAAAAGACTGTTATACAAGATACAAGAGAAGTCACAGAATATTGGGTGTTTGTTAGCCGTTGTGACTTGAGAATTGTGATTGAAGCCATATTCGGGTTCACTGTTATCAAACTGTCAAATGTAGTTACAGCTTTTCGTGAGTCTAACCTCAATAATTGGCTGGGTTACTATTTTGAATCGTCCTTGTTGTCTTGTTTGTTGTATCTTGGAATCAAAAGTTCTAAGATGGCTGAGTATTTGGCATCAATTTTTGGTACTGAAAAAGACAAGTAAATATAATGATTACATTTCATTAAATATATATTAAATTCAATCTGTATTTTCAGGGTTAACTGCTCTTTCTATTTCAAAATAGGAGCATGTCGACATGGCGACAGGTGTTCCAGAATACATAACAAACCCACATTTTCACAAACTTGCTTACTTCAAAATTTATATGTGAATCCTCAGAATTCTGCTAAGTCTGCCGATGGAAGTCATTGTAAGTAAACTGAATCACTTGTGTAATCCTGTGAATTAATTTAAAACTTTTATTTCAGTGGTTGCCAATGTTTCTGACGAGGAGATGCAAGAACATTATGATAACTTTTTCGAAGACGTATTCGTGGAATGTGAAGACAAGTATGGGGAAATCGAGGAGATGAATGTTTGTGATAATTTGGGAGATCATTTAGTGGGAAATGTTTATATCAAGGTGGGTACCAGATAATTGAACCATTCATTTACCCTGTCCTTTATGATTTGGTTTTTTTATTATACTTACGTACTTTTGTCTGCTAGTCACCAATCCGAAATCAAAACTTGGCGCTCTGGCTTATTTTGAGATTTGGTTTCTACTTTTCCATCGTTATACAAGAAAAACGTGGGAAACTACCGAATGAAAAAGATGAAGAACTAGGAAGTTAAAAAGGTTTATTCTCAAACACCGAATGAAATTAATTTCAGCTTTTCATATATAGGAAGTTACTTGCGACAAATCTTCCAAATGGAAGACGTTACACAGTTAATTATTCAAATCTCAATGTATCAGAATCAGAATCATTTTTATTCATCACAAAAGAATACACATTGTGTGGTGAAAACTACAGAATATGTAACTTATCGGACTAGTCAAAATCAGTCGGTTGCAAAGCCAAGTTTCAAATCAACTACCGAACAAGATTTGTCTCGTCTTTCACTGCAAAGCAAGTAGTTTTTTGGGATCTGATTTCAATAACTTATTTGATGTTTGAGAAAAGATTTCTGCATTTTTTCCATTCTATTTTTCATTTAATCCAAAATATAGCACAAAAAAAGAACAAAATTTAAATATGACAAATTTTTTGTAACAATTTTATAGAACAGTGAGCATTAATAACTGAGTTATTGACAATCAGTTCAATGTTGTTTAACGTTTTTGATGCTTTCTGAAATTATTCAAGTAGATCACCTACACACCGCGGTTTCGAGGTATTACCTCTCATCAGCGCAGGAAAGATCCTACCCGAACAGCAAAGTGCATGGGACTCTATTAAGTGAAACTGCAACTGTGTCAGATAGAATAATATTTTTTGACGATTTCAATATCGATTTTATAGTAAAATCATCTTCATTGGATGAACTTAAAAACACTTTATTATCCTTTGGACTAACTATAATTATTAAGGAGGCTACTCGAATCACTGCCTCCAAATCTAGTTATCTGGACAATATTTTGACCAATTTGAATCCTCTTTTGTACAAAGCAGGTGTATCTGATCCATTGTTTTCTGACCATGCAGGTCAATACTTTTTTCTGCACAGGCGAAAGTCGTAAAGAAACCCAAAAACCAATTTGGATTAGGACTATTTCAAGCAGAGGTATGAACAAAATGCGTTCGTCTTTGCTCGAATTCGACTGGACTATTTTTATCTCAAGCCCAGGTACTGAGGTTTTGTCTTCTCTGTTGGTGAAAATTTACAATGATCTTATTTATGATATATTTGCAATGAAACCAATGAAATCGAGGTTCACTGTGAATCCTGTGTCTTGGTTCAATGACGAATTGAGAAAACATTGTGATAATCTATCAGAACTGAAAATTATATGTGACAGTACCAAGGCACGTGAAGATATAAATAGCTTTAAAACTTTTAAAAATGACTACACTATGCAACTCAGATATGCAAACAAATCAGCAAGTGATTCATATATTATTGAGGCTAAGGCTACCTGGAACATTGTGAATTTTCACAGAAAGAAGACTAAACAAAGGTGTGTCTCAGAGAAATTAACTGAAAATGACTTTAATAATTTTTTCTCAAATATAACCGCCAATATTGTAAAATCCCTACCTAATCTGCCTATCTCTGAATTGGTGAACTTCAGAAATTTTCCCTCTCATGGCTCTTCATTCTTTTGAACTCCTGTTACTTGTGATGAAGTACAAAAAATCATTACATCTTTGAAAAATTCAGCTTGCCGGATATCAATGGAATAAATAGTCGAATTATTAAGGAAACTCAGGATATTATTCTTGTCCCATTTACCAATTTGATAAATCTAATCTTCAAATCACCTAATTTTCCTAATATCTTCAAATATTCAAAAGTGATACCTCTCCACAAGAAAGGTAACGAAGAGATTGTCGATAACTACAGACCTATTTCTATTATAAGTATCTTTTCAAAAATTACTGGAAAATTAATTAAGAAAAAACTCACCAAATATTTCGAAATCAACAATTTTTTTTGCAGTTATCAATTTGATTTTCGCAGAAACTGCTCTACCACCACCACCAATGCTACTATGAGTGTTGTTAGAGGCATAGTTGAGGGACTTGAGATCGGGGAGGTTGTGGGGGTCACACTATTGGACCTGTCAAAGGCCTTTGACTGTGTTTCCCACAACATTTTACTCGAAAAACTGTCATATTATGGTTTTGATTTGGGTTTGATTGAAACTTACCTGAATAATCGTTTCCAGAGCGTTTTTTATAACAATACATTTTCTGAGCTGAGGCCGATTGACCTAGGTGTACCGCAGGGATCAGTTTTGGGCCCGCTTCTGTTCGTTATTTACACCAATGATTTTCACAACTATATGAAGCCATGTCACAGTGTACTATTTGCTGACGATACATCCTTGATATACTCTTCTATGAATTATTCAGCTCTTGTTGATAAGTCTATGGAAATACAAGAAAAAGCGGAGCACTGGTTCAGAGTCAACAAAATCCAATGTGTCAAATTATTGGGTTTTACTCTGGACAATAGGCTAAATTGGTCAAGCCACATTTCAAGTTTGAAAAGTAAACTATCGAGTGCCTTATTTTTACTTAGACAGCTGAAACCAATAACAAATTTAACTACGGTGAAAATTCTAGTGATGCTCAATGCATTTTTATATTACAGAAAAAAGCTCTGAGAATTCTTGCTGGAATCGATTTTTAAGGATTCTTGTCGTGAATCATTCATCACTCATGAAATTATGTCGGTGCCTTCTTTGTATGTTTACTCAAGCCTATTAGATATTCACAAAAGGGCCCCCTTGTTTCCTAAGCAATCCGGTTTACACAATAATGATACACGTAACAGCAATTTTATTAGACCTCAACGTTTCAGGCTGATGAAATCACAAAAAAACTCCTATGATTTTAAGTTGTATAATGCACCTCCTGTCAATATTAAAAATATGAATATGTTTTGATGTAAAAAAGTTATAAAAAATATTAAAAAAAAAACTGTTTTTATTCCACTTCAGTTAGAACTTAGAACTTTTGACGCAAGGAAGATGCTCGCCGAACCTCCACACTTAATTTGAATATGTTATAATCTACCTTGTAAACTCGTTACAAATTTTTACTGTTTGTTTTTCTGACTTTCATAAATGTATTTTATACATAACATGATCAAATAAATATATCTATCTAATACCACGTTGGATCCAGCCTGGTAGATGAAGGTTTCATATATGCAGTGGAGCCGGGTTGAAATTAATCGAGTCCAGACTTTGCTTCGTGCACTAACAGAGTAATACCTCGAAACCATGGCCTGTAGGTGATCTACTCGAATAATTTCAGCATGGTCCTCCTGCTGGATGAACTAGTAACATTTACGAGACTATAACCTCTGTGAGGTATCTAGCACAAATGTCTGTCAGAAATAATTCAATATCCAGAGCAGTTGTTTTTCGGCAGGTATTTAAACCTACTGTATAGGTATTTGGGAGCGCTGAATGTTTCATTCCCTTATAACAGTAATGTTATCATTGAAAATGTCATTTCTATTCACATAATTTCCTGAAAGGCGAGAGAGTTGCAGCAATTTGAAGGTACATTACAAAAACTTCAAATCCTAAGGACACTGGTTCTTTATAGGTAATTTGTGTGAAGTACATAGCATTTGCGACTAATAACTATAGTATATTACAGTTTAAGCTTGAGGAGTAAAGTTTCTTATAAAATCTTCATGATCAAATCTACGAAGCAATCTTTTGAATATTAATGCCAAGAATTAACCTCACATATCACCATACTTATTCTTGGGCACAGAAAACTCATTTTCCTCCAAATCTTGCAGATCCTTATTATTTGTAGATGGTAATTTCATAACAGGCTGCCTATAATTTCCAACCCTCTTGTTTTGATATTCTTCTCGATTCTGCTTCCTCAACTCATCATATGTGGTTGTATGTTTTTGTATTGGTGGCATTTCTTCTTCATATATAGGATTGTCAATAGATGGTCTATTATAGTCATCAAGACCAGGAATTTCTGGTCTATCAGTATCAAGATCTAGACTATTATTGGGATTCAAATCAGTGTATGTATCAGCAGATCCCATACCACTGAAAGGTGCCAGCGACATTCCAGGACCAAAACCTGGATCAACAGTCTCTTTCAAGTTACCTCTTCGCTTCTGTCTTAATATTTCTCCCAGTTGACTGTTTGGGAGCTGCATCAGTCTTTCAGCACATTTTGACTGATAGGAAAATTTGCCAATGAAATAGCCAACAAACACACTAGCTATAACTTTGGGTACGGCTCCAAATCTTTGATTGGCTTTGAGGAAGCCCGTTTTAACCCCATAATAAGCTGATCCAGCTAAAACTGCACTTAGTGGTAAACATCTTTGGTAAAAGCTATCTCTGTTGCATTCTTTAATAACTTTTAATTCTTCAGCAGTGAATTTATAAATTTTTTGTGAAGCTTGTGGATCCTGAAATGGTCGTCTTTGGTTACCACCCGCTTCAACGTCAGTTTCTGATTGTATCATATCGAAAATGGCATGGAAAACTATTTATGAAAATCGTATACTTTCGTTCAAAATGTTCACTCAAAATAGATTTGGTTATGTGTGGATTTTAGGTTTGTTCTGGTTCTAACATCCGGGACTGTTTGGAAACTGCGCAAGACATGATGCGTACAAGCAAAATATCTCAAACAGCCCGAAATAGTCTTGGACACTTG